CATAAGTTAAAGCATGTAATTTTATTTTACAAAACATTTTTTGTGATAAAACGTAAGCCATAAAGGTTCTTATGCTGAGGACCAATCAGAATTGCATTGTTATGATAAAAAACTATTCCAGCTGCTTTGTGCAGAGTGGATATAGGGAGGTTCCTTATAAGTTTTGGCCATAGAGTAAGTAACCAGCTTTGGTAATTGTGGAAATTTTGGAAATACAGGTAGTTGAAAGAAGAAATTTTAAATCACTGCTAGAAAAAAAAAAATCTGTGTTAACTATTTGGTATATTTCTTCTCAGCATTGTTTTTCCATACAAAATTAAAATCACATTGAACATACAGTTTGACACTTTGCTTTTTAAGTAAATGTTACATAGTCTTTTCCTATGTCATTAAATATCTGTTTCAACATAATTCACACTGTTGCATAAACCATGATGAATTCAACCAATCCAGTGTTGTATGGGGTCCTTGGGTTCCTTCTTAGTTTTTCACTATTATAAGTAATGCTGCTCTGAACCTAAAACTTTCATTAAGATATATTCTTGGAAATTAAATTACTGGGTAAAAGGATATGAACTGTAATGCTTTGGCTACATATCATCAAGTGATTTCCCAGAAAGGCTTTACAAATTTGTGCTCCCAATAGGGACAGAGTGCCCCTCTCACCACATCCTTGCCAACACTGAGTAGTATAGTATGGGGTTTTTCTTTGTTTGTTTTTGTTTTTTAAACAGGTAGGAGGTGGGATGGGGAACTAATATTTATAGCATTTGATTTTTTAAAAATCATTTTCTAACCATATCATTTTAGGAATTTAGTCTAGGACAGGTCTGCCAATTAAGTTGTTTTCATTTTTCCAAGACCTTAAATATTAGAGTAAGCTTGCATAAAGCAGGCATTATGAATACTATCTAGGGAACTGTTTATTACTCAGGAATTATTTACAATCCCTAGTCATACCCTCTGAATCTATTGAGTGTCCTAAAATTTTTTTTTTTCTTTTTCTTTTCTTTCTTTTTTAAACTTATCATTGGCTCAGCTACCAAAGTAACTCATACACTTTTAAGAAGCAAGCCTCCATGCATTGGTTCAAGGACCAGGATGTGAGTGCTTCTGGGAGGCACTGGATTTATAGGGGAAAGACTTGGCATGGTTTTCCGTAAGATCTACAATCTTAACTGATCCCTAACTGTTACAGCCTTGAAATTGGTTTCCTTCTACTGTACATACACTGTATGACTTTTTATACCAACTAAGCTTGTAGTACTTTGTGCTTTAATTTTTTAAGGGTCAATCATGTGAATTATACTGACAGTAGCCACCTGTTTATAGGTGGTTTAAGTGAAACTTGCTTAATTGAATTTTATTAAAAACTTGATTTATGGGCTTTTAAGTGAGACGCCATACTTAGAGAACTTAGCACAGTATTTCACACATGGAAAGCACTCATAAATTTTAGTTGTCTTAATTGTCGGAATTCCCTCAAGAAGTGACATTTAACCAGGTCTGGAGGAACCCTCGTGGCAGAGGGGCTGGAACATCCTGAAGTCCTGAGGAGCCAACGAGCCTGTAGCCCTTTGTGGCTCCAAACAAGCCAGTGAGCGAAAGTCAGCCCTAGGCGGGGGCTTAGCTTTGAGAAGAAGTTTAGGCTTCACTGGGAGAGCAGTTGAGAGCCGGAAAGGGTCATAAGCTGAGGACGAATCATATTTGATTGTTATGTTAAAAAACGATTCCATCCACCTGTGGAGAGTGGGTACAGGGAAGTTCCTTACGAGGTTTGGCCATAAAGTAAATAACCAGCCTTGGGCACATTACTTAAGCTAAGTGTGTCTTAGTTTCCTCATCTCCAACACAGATTTAGTAATAGTAGTAGTACTCACACCATAAACTCTGAGTTGTTATTTATTTGTCATGTCCTCAGAACAGCTTCTAGTGCTTTAGATGTTGGTTAAATTTAGAATGCTGAAAGTTAAGCACTTCCAGTACTACCCTCCCTCCAAACAGCTGACCTCCACCATGGAAAACCCAGACTGGCCCTGACTCTGAGTCCTTGGCCGAGCCTAGTTTCCAAACCAAGCCCAGCTTCCTCGGAACCTCCCCGTGTCTGGTCTGGGGTGGCTGCCTCCACATGGATGTGGCATATGCTGGCCAGGCCCGGCTGGCCTTCCTTCCCTAGAGCACTTGCATGGCACTTCACACAGTGGGTCAGGCCGCAGTTAGCCACTTACACCGTGTGGGCTTCCTGCTGGGGTGAACTACACAGAACTCGCCAGTACCCACCGATCCTCAAAGTATGGCACACTGGAGGTAACTTACCTCCCCGGCGTTGCCAACCTGACCATGACTGCTTACTCTCACCCACATGGCGCTTGGTGTTTGAAACCAACTGGGCTGTCCTCAGCTCCTGTTTGCCTTCTGTATTTATAAAGGACAGCTTTGAACTGAAAGAGAAAAAAAGGCAAATAATATGCAAATTCCATCCAGCCTTTTCTTCTTCACTCTAGTAAGGAGCCTCTTAAGTATTTTATACCTTATAAAAAGTTTACTTTAACCCTATAAATCTCTGTTTTTCTCCCTCCTCAGTAACTTACTTTTGTAAAGTCATGTGATACATGTTGCTGGGTTTTTAAAAAATCATCAATATTTTTTGCTTAGTAGTTAGTAATGTTTCAAAGCTACTTTCTTAACTTGCTATGAATTTTTCCAGTTTGAAAATAGTAAATGGGATCACATGCAGGGACAGCAGTTTTCAACCTGCATGACTTAGTAGTGTTGCCTGGAGTCCTGTTTTGAGGATCAGGAGGCAAATCTGAGCTCGCAGGGAGAAAGTATCATGATCTACAAGAAAGGGTGCACACCAGATCCAGGGTAGAATTCTCCCTGGGAGGAAGGACGGCTGTAGAACTGGTCGGGGAAGGGAGAGATGGCACAGAAGGCCTCCTCAGTGTTTCTAATGCTTGTTAAATGTGGTGATGGGTGAAATTTGTCATATTATTTTATATCTTTTTGAATATGTGAAACAGTTCATGATAAAATTGAAATGATGCCATCGACCCTGGGCATTACTGCTAAGTTTGTTGTCCTGGTCTGGAGGGGCCTACCCTTGACTGAGGTAACACAGCCCCTTCCCTAGATTCAGTGGTCCTCCAAGTATTTGTATCTGGACTCATACACTTAGATGCACATACACGAGTTTATTTTATCTCATAATATGTACTTACAAAATGCAATACAGAACTTAAAAAAGAAAAAAGAATAAAAAGGTATATTCCCTGTAAATATACTGAAAACCACAGGGTTGTACACTTTAAAGAGTAAATTTTATAGTATATGAATTATATCTTAATAAAGCTGCTGTTGAAAAATAAAATGTTTCCAAATAGAATACTTTTTCAAAAAGTAAGTATTTTTTTTTTCTGATTTTAATAGTAGTACACATACACACATAGGAAACTGGAAAATGTACTAAAGTAGAAAAAAATATATATACCCATAATAGCACCACCCCAGAGACTGTTAACATTTGGTGATAGTTTCTTCCATTATTTTTTCATTTCCATGTATGGATTATTTTTATATTGATGAGATTGTTTCTGAGTATTAAAATTTGCATCTTCCTTTCTTCATTTAACATTGTAATACAACCATTTAAAATGCTCTCATAAATTCTTTATAAACATTTTAATGGTTTACAGTGGGCCAATGTATGAGGGTATTATAAATTAATCAGTTCCTGCTGTTAGCATTTTTCACTATGAGAAATACCATTGTAGTGAACATCTTTGATTATAATCCCCATCATCATATTCGGATTTATTTCCATAAACGTGTGCCAGATACATTAGAAGTTATGAAATCTTTTAAAAACCTTTAATATGTATGTCCAAGTTGCTCTTTATAAGGCAGGCCTCTACTACCCTATAAGGCACCTTTGTTCAGGTTATAAACCTCTGGGCAGATATAGCCCTGGCAGTCTGAGCTTGGGGTGGGAAATGGGCTGTGTTACACCCACTCACACCCCCTGGGGGTGTCTCAGTGTGGTTCACAGCAGCAGGATGTATGGATACCCATTTATATTTTAATAGCTCACATAGAGTACCTGTTTCAGAGAACCCAGATTAGCATTTGGTATTTAGGTCTGTAAAATCTTTAATTCATTAAGTGAAAAACGGTATGTTGATGTTTAAATTTACCCTTTGGTTTTATGAGTGTGAACATTTATTGGTGTGTTTCTTATGCATTTGTATTTTCTTTTATGAATTATCTGTTCATACTCATTTTTTATGTTCTTAGTGTTTGTCATGTATTTTGCACATTTATTTATGATCTGTCATTACTTATTAATAATATTCTTCCTAGTTTGTGCTTATATTATTTTATGAAAGCACAAGGTTTTATTTCTATTTAGAAAAACCAATGATTTGCTCTCTTAATTTTCAGTTTACAAAGTTCTTCCCTATTCAGACACCTGAAAAGTACTGTTTTCTTCTCATTTATTATTTCATTTTTACATTGATCTCTTTACATTGATGTTTAACTTTACATTAAATTCAAGTATATTTTGATGAATAACATAAGGTACAAATCTAATTTTTTTTTCAAATAGCGTTCCCATAACACCATTTAGTGATTCATCTTTCCTTAGTAATTTGTGGTATGTTCCTTGTCATGTGTTAAATTATAGCTACTTTGATAAAAATATTTTGCTGAGTTTAAAAACAATAAATATCATATTCTTAATATGGTTAAAGCACTGTTCATTTATTATATATTTTTGCTTCACTGTTAACATTTGTTTAAATTGACCTATTTTTAATGTGATAATTTTAATGCTAACTTATTTCTTCTTTATACCATGAATCCAGATGAACTGAGTATTTGGACAAATTAGGATTACTCATTTCACAGAGATGAGTGCATTTACAGATGACCTAAACTCTAGACATTATACGTAATAGGCACTTGCACTCGCTTTTAATAACTTTGTTTATGTTTTTAAGGGGTTGTTATCTCATATACTTTCGGCATTCAGATTTGATACAAAAGAAGTTGGTCTTTTTACTCAAGGTCTTGGATATGCACCTGCAGATTACTGTCCTGGTTTGCTTAAAAATGTGAGTATTTTTAATTTATTAGTATTGAAATTTTTGTTGCTTAATGTACCATTGGCAAAAAGGGTAAATGGAAATATCTCACTCTTCCAGGAGAGATGTTTAACTTTTCTCTGTTTATCTCTTCTTACCTTGGGCCGACTTACAGCCATGTAAGGAAGAAATGTGAGGTGGGAGATTATGAGAAAAAAGAAGGAAACCAGGAGAGGTTATTCTAAATCAACCAACCCCTCTTTTCTCTTAACGGATCTCATTTATTCTCTCAAAGATTTTTGGGAGAAGAGATTTCCTTAACCAGTGTAAACACACCCTTTTACTGTTGGGTGAATTTTGTATTTAAAATAACCTGATAGGAACTTTATGTTAAAGCAAAAAATTCAATAAGTAACAATGTTGTAAATAGTATTATATATTCACATCTTAGTATTAAAGCTATGTTTCCTTTTGCCTTGAATTTTGGCCAAATTCAAGAAATTTTAATTTATGATCTTCTAAATATTGTTATGAGATTTCTAATCTTTGTTAACTGTCCTGGTCTTTTGGAAACTTTATACATAAATAGCATTTTTAAAAAATAACTAGAGCTAAATTAGGAAAGAAAAAAATAAGGTAACTTTAATGTGGTTTTATTTTTAACAGGTTTGGTTTTCTTTGGAAATTAATGATCAGTGTATTGTTCATTTGATTAAATTGGAATGTGGAATAACAGACATTAAAAATAAAATCCAAGTTATTAGTAAATGTGACTTGGCACTGCTTTCTTTTCATTTTGACAAAGTAAAACAAGGAGAGGATGGGTAGGGGAGGGGAGGGAATCTCAACGGAAATATCACTCACACCAAGAAAAATAGAACTGATGTAATCCTGTTTTGCAGGATGAGTTAACCTGCAACTGATTTTGTTTTACAGATGGTTTTATCATTAGTGTCTGAACTGCGAGAGAATCATCTTAATGGATTTAACACTCCAAGGCGGTAGGTGTTAAACTAAACATCCCCCTTCTTAAGTTTCAAAATGTATCAGTCTGGTTATGAGAGAAAAATTTTATAATTCTTTGGAAATGCATGTTCATAAGTTCAGGTTATATTCTGTATGGAGAGATTATTTATACATGGCAAATTGGTGAGTTTTATGAAACTTTCTTTTTTTATCACTATTCTTTCAACTTTTATAGGGCAGTAAATCATGCAACGTCTCTTGTGACCCATTGAGTAAAAAACCCTACATATACAGTAGGGAACACAAACAAAGGAAGGGCTCAGCTCAGAGAGAGAGAGAGAGAGTGTGTGTGTGTGTCTTATAAATACACACACACACAAACAGTATTTACAAGGCAACAGATATTTGATATGCACATATGACTTACTTTAAGAAACATAATATTCCAAAATCTAGACTAAACAAATCAAATAGATTCAGACAAATTAAAAGGCAATTAATCACATTACAAAATGTTCTTCACTATGTGAGAGAATTCAAAGTTGTCTTCATTGGTGAGTAGCATTTCATTTTTTTTTTTAAAGATTATATTTATTCATTTGAGAGAGAGAGAGAGAGAGGGAGCATGAGCAGGGGGAGGGGCAGAGGCAGAGGGAGAAGCAGAAGCCATACTGAGAGCTGGGAACCTGACACAGGGGCTCCATCCCAGGACTCTAGGATCCTGACCTGAGCCGAAGGCAGACGCTTAACCAACTGAGCCACCCAGGTGCCCTGGTGAGCATTTCATTTTTAACAAATTATTAACTAAGAGAGTCTGGGGACAAGGGACTTTGTCCTTGTTTTTGCTTTTTGTTTGTTTTTATAAAGTTACTGTCAATTAAAACTATCACAAATGGTTTTTGCTCTCAGCCTACGTGATCCTTTCCATGTAAACTTTAAAGTAAACTATAAAACCCTTAAAAACACTGGAGAAAATCTTCATGACATTGATTTGGCAATGATTTTTTTGGATATGATACCATAAGCACAGCAACAAAGGAAAAGTAAATAATTGGACTTCATTAAAATTATGAATTTTTATGAATTATAAGACATTATCAAAGCAAAAAGCCTACTGACTGAGAAATATTTGGAAGTCATGTATCCAATAAGGGATTAATACTGAAAGAACTGAAACTCAACAAAAACAAAAAATTCAATTCAAAAATGGGCCAAGAGAGATGTCTTACATGTCTGCAAAGATGATATGTAACCGGCCAGTAAGTACATGAAACAGTGTTCAGCATCACCAGTTATTAGCGAAATGCAAATCAAAACCACAGTGGGATATTACGTCACATGTATTAGCCATGATCTATAATTTTTAAGACAAGCAAAAATGGAAAATAATAAATGTTAGCAAGTAAGTTAAGGAAGTACAACCCTTGTGCATTGTTGGTGGGAATGTAACAAACTATAGACTATAGTCTTGCTGGTGGGAATGTTAAATGGTACAGCCACTGTGGAAAAGTTTGGCAGTTCCTCAAAAAATTAAACACAGAATTACCATAAGACCCCGAAATTCCACTCTTAGGTATATATTCAAAAGAATTGAAAACAGGGACTTGAACAGATATTTGAACACCAGTGTACATAGCAGCATTATTCACAATAGCCAAAAGGTGGCCACACTCCAAGTTCCCACTAACAAAATGTGGAGTGGATAAACAAAATATGGTATGTAAATACAACAGAATATTCTTCAGCCATAAAAAGGAATAAAATTTTTATATATGCAAGAATATGGGTGGACCTTGAAAACATCATGCTTAGTGAAATAAGCCAGACACAGAAGGGCAAATAATGTATGATTCCACTTATATGAAGTACCTAGAAGAGGAAAACTCAGTAGAGACAGCAGAAGAGAGGTTAGAGGTAGAGGGAACGGGGTTATTGTTTAATGGGCCCATCGGTTGTGTTAGGGGTTAGAGATAATGAAAAGCTTTGGGGATAGATTGTGGTGATGGGTACACAGCATGTGAATGTGTTTAATGCCACTAAATGGTTACCAAGTACAAATAGTTAAAAAATAATAACAATTATGTATGTTTTACCATGATTTTAAAAAAGCAAGAAAAAAAACAAACATGATACCAACTGTACACTCCATCAGATGACTAAAGTTTAAAACACTTACATCAACCTGTGTTGGAGAAGATATGGAACCACTGGATTTCTCATCCACTGTCTGTGAGAATGTGAAGTGGTGTCATTACTTTGGTAGACAGTGTAGTACTTCATTATAAAGTTAAACACACACTTATCATATGATCCACCAACTCCATTCTTGAGTATTTACTCACAATAAACGAAAACATAGGTAGTCATAAATATTTCTATACAGATATTCATAGCTGCTCAATTTTGTAATAGTTCAAAACCAGAAATGATCCAAAGGACCACCTTAACTGGATGGATAAACAAGTAAGTATTGTCTGTTACCACCGTTTAAGAAATGAAAAGACAAGTCACAAACTGTGAGAAAATATTTTCAGATTATGTATCTGATAAAGGGCTCCTACCCAGAATATATAAAGAACTCAGTAATAAGACCACCCAGTTAAAAAAAAAAATAGGCAAAAGATTGGAAAATGTCATCAAAAAATATATACAAACAGCTAATAAGCACATGAATACTTGTATACAGATGTTCATAGCAGCATTATTCATAATAAAAAGTGGAAGCAACCCAAATATCCATCAACTCATGAATGGATAAACAAAATATGTTGTGTCCATACAGTAGAATACTATACCTCACTAAGAAAAGAACAGTCTACTGATTCATGTTACAACATGTGTGAACCTCAAAAACATTATGCTTAGTGAAAGAAGCCAGTCACTGAAGACCATATATTATATGATTCCATTTTTATAAAATGTCCAGAATAGGTAAATTATAGAGACAGAGTAGATTAGCAGTTGCCTAGGGCTAAAGGTAGGAACAGGGATTTGCTGCAAATGAGTACAAAAGATCTTGAGATGATGGAAATGTCCTAAAAGTGGATCATTAGTGGTAATGGCTGTCCAACTCAGTAATTTATTAAAAATCTTTGAATTGAACATTTCAAATAGGTACATTTTGTGGTATATAAGTTATACCTAAAAAGTAATAAGAAGAGTCCCTAGAAGGGACATGGAAAGCATTTACAGTCATTCATTTACATGTCAGGTAGAGACTTTGGTTTTGCCTTGAGATAAATGTTGAATAATAGAATTAGAAATTTATTTAAATGGACTTAAAACATCAGTAGGATACAATGTATATGTACACCCTTCACCAACAACCCAAACTAATGCCAAGTTGATGATTTTTTAAAAACTTAACTGAGAATAAACAACAACAAAACAAAAACACTATTAACAAGTGGAAAACATTAGCCAGAGAATTGGAAGATATTTGCAACCATAAAACAGACAAAGGATTAGTATGGGAAGTATAGAAATGCCTCCTGCAAATCAATCATAAAGAGGCAAACACTCCAGTATAGAAATGGGCAAAAAATATAAGTAAGTTATTACTAAAAGAGGAAAGAAGAATAAATAACAAACATTTAAAAAATTCTTCAAGAGTGATGTCAGCATGACAGTAGAATAGGAAGCCCCAGTCTTTGTTTCCATACAGAGACACTGACTTAACAATGGTATATGACCCAAAGAGCCTTTATGAGAACTCCAGAAACCAATTAAGACGATATAATACCCCAGGCAAACTCGAAGTTAAAAACAACCATATGGAAATGGGTAAGAAGGCCATTTCATATCAATCACAGTAGCCCTTCCCCTAAGCTGGCTCAGTGTTGTGGGATTGGGAGGAAAATTCTAGCTTACAGCTTCTCCCTTGATGGGGAAAGAAAAGAATGGAATATGTTCAGTGTTTCTGCTTTGGGGGGCTGCCTGAGGGACTGGTGTCTCGCTTGCCTGACTCTGACCACTGTTGGGGAACCAGCATACTTTCAGTGCCTGGGAACTGTGGCACATTAGAGAGTCCTCAGCTGCTTTTTGCAGCATCAGAGAACTGACAGTGCTGCAGACAGAGGTAGGCTCAGAGAGAAAACACCCAACCCACAGCTAATGTCTAGGTGGCATAGGGGGTGGGAAAGAAGAGTGGAATATATATCTAATCTTCCAGCTTCTGAAGAGGCTACCTTAGGGATTGGTTTCAGTCTCCCTTGACTTGAAGCAATAACAGAACCAGCATACTTTGGAGGTGAGGAGGCTGCAGAGAACCAAAGAGCTTAGTGGCTTGTAGCACCAGAGAACCTGCAGTACCACAGACAAACACCAGAGGGAGAAAGAGATTGCAAACTCCTGAAAAGCTGGCAAGCTCTCTGGGAAATTACACAAACAATCCCAGAGAAGACACATCGCCAGAAAAGATTCAAAGGACCCCCAGACTCTCTCACCAGGTTGATTAGTGAACATCTTCCCTTGTACAAAGGCAGTCCATAAAGACTGGGAGAAGTGGCTATTTCTTTGACTGCAGAAAACACAACAAAATATAACAAGGCACACAAAGAAACAGGAAAACATGGCCCAAACAAAGGAACAAAATTAATTTGCACAAACCTACCCTAAAGAAGTGGAGAGCTATGACCTAACTACCTGGCAAAGAATTAAAAATAATCGTCCTAAAGGAGCTCAATGCACTACAATAGAATACAGATAAACAACTAAATGAAATCAGAAAAATGATGCATAAACAAAATGAGAATATCAGCAGATAGCAATTATGAAAAACAACCAGATAGACATTCTGGAGCTGAAGAATACAATAACTGAATTGAAAAATTTAGTAGAGGGGTTCAACAGTAGACTTAGTCAAGCAGTTAACTTGAAGACATGTCACTTGAAATTGTCAAATCAAGTAAAAAAAAAAAAGAATGAAGAAAAGTTCATTAAGCCTTAGAGTTCATGGGACATCATCAAGTGGACCAATTATATGTATAGCAGGAGTCACAGAAGTGAGAAAAAGACAGCTTATCAAATCTGAGGA